AGACGTTCGCACTTCCGGAGCACCATTTGATAGGGCCCCTCTTCGGTAAGGGCTCGGCTGCGGCCTCCCACGGCTGCTGCGGCCTCCCACGGCTGCAGCGGCAGGGGGAAGGCGGCTCCCTTCTTTTCTGAGCGGTTCTGTACGTGTGAAACTTATCCATGTTTGAAGAAAAAACCCCAAAAGAATACTGAGGTATCCAGTTCCATACTCCCAGCCTTCTCTGTTAGGTGTGTTATTGCTCCCTCTGGAGAACGGCCTGGCGTTCGATTCAGAACAGGTTAATGAATTTCCTTATTCCCCAAGAAGTGGAACTGGCACGTTCTTAAAGCCCTTGCAATTTTCCAAAGTATCCTGACATATCTTTAAAGTCTTTTTGGAGAACAGGGAGTGCCCGTATGGCTCTTCGCAGAATGCCCTGCATTTCATGCCTTCGTGCTCTCTCGTCTTGTTCAGCTGTGGCATTGTATGAAGATTCATACAGAAATGTGAGCTTAAAAAGGTGTTGCTGGATTTAACAAGTGTGCAAAATATGAATCTGCATAGTGGGTTTTTTTCACGCCATCACCTTTGTAGAAATCCCTGTAGCCACGGGACTGGAATACGTGCTTCTTTCTGGTGGGTCAGCCTCACAGCAGAATACAATCTTCATCGGGATGTCAGAAAGTGCCCTCACAGTAACAGTGTCTGTGGTCTTGAACATCTCTTGCTGGTTTCTGTTTGCATAGCAGTGCTGTGGCAAAGATCTTCAAAATGTCAAAAATCTTAACAGAGAAGAAATAATGGTCTAAATGAGGGGACAGTAAGGCAGGAAGGGAACGGTGGAGAATATGAACGCGAATGCCTTCAAAGAGCAAATATACTGGATTCTTTTAATTCCGTGATCTCAGTTGCACATCGCATATAATTCCTGTTCTTTGGGGGAAAGTGACTTACAAGTCCCTTCCCTGCCTTCACACGTTGAATAATTCAAACACTTTTCCCAGTTCATTTCTCAGCACAAACTGTGTTGTGTGCGTTTCGGGAGCAGCTTTATTAGAAACAGAAATTTGTGCAGGTTTAGTTCGCTCTGTTGCACAGATTTTTACTGAGTGCTATCTCTGCACATAATCCTGTACAGATGCGGAGGGAATGGTGCTTATGGCCAACTCAGTCCTGCACTGTATGACACTAACACAAAATACCCTAAAAGATGGGAGCTGTGCTTGCATTGCAGTGCTCTTGCCTGTTTTTAACTAGTAGTTCTGTCTCTCTCTGTAAGAAGCTTTACAATCAGATGGTTTGGGGACAGCTTTGGGATTTTACTGTACTAGGTGTAACTCCTGGAGCAGCTGGAATCCCAGTCTAAGCTTGGGCTACGAACATCAACGTACATTTTGGATAGAGCTTGCATGAACTAAAGATCGTTTGGTGCACAAGTATAAGAGGGACCCTCAAAGGTTTGAGCAATGCTGTGAAGGAAGTGTTCATAATAAATTCAGGAAGATGTGCTAATTTTTGAAGAGAGAATACTGGGACCAGCACAGGTAGAAGACAGAGGATTAGGAGGACAGAGGTGTAGTGTGGAGTGTTACACATGAAGAGGTGGTGGATTTTGGGTAAGCCAGAATTTCATGCAGCGAATATTGCAGTGTTCACTAATGCTGTATGCAAATCTGTTCCAAAGTGTAAGGAAGTTACTGAGGATTGGACAGGTGAGGCAGGATATAGGTGATTTCTTCACCTGCAATGTCGTAACATTGCTTTAGTTGGTCAAATTTCTGAGAGGTCATAGAGTCTCCGAATGGGAGGTAATTTGACTGAGTATGTTGAAACGACTGGTTTGGTGTGGCAGAAGTGGGAGTCTGAACCAGATGCCTGATGCTGCGGATACCTGAAGTTGGAAGGAGCTGGGAGGTAGAGTTTCTCCTCTGTTGTGGTGTAGTAGAGTGAGACAGTGGCTTATTTTCATATACCCGATCTTACGCTCCAGTTGTGCAAATGACTTGTGAAATGGTGCCTTCAGGTTCTATTTAACATTAGAATAGTTTCCATATGTTTTAAACCTGGTGTTTAAATTTAGACTCGGGATTTTCAGTACAGTGGAAGGACAATTCATGGTAACTGTTATGAATGGAAGATAGGCAGGTAGCTGGGCTCTGACTTCTGCATTCTGGAGTGTTGTAATTCACTGTATGTGTAATATTGGATACATGCAGTGAGATGTGGTGATGGTAGCAGTTACATATTTACTTACATAGGTGGAGCCATTGACTTCAGCTATAAAGTATGTTAAAAATTTGCAAGAGAACTGAATGCCTTCATGTCCCTGTGTCCTGCTTATGGAGGTGCCTTTTCTGATACTCCCTGAGAGTATCCACCTCACTCTGACAAAGTCAGGCTGGCGTCACATGAAGCAGGGAAAAAAAAACAAGTTCTGA